GTGGTAACATCTATTAGGGTCCCAGCTATGAGCAAATAGTTAACTCCCAAACTGGGGTCAAAACAGTATGAAAGTGTAAAAATAGGTTTTAATGCCACATATACATTTTTATAAAAATATTACCAGCAATGAATTTTTGAAGAAAAAATTATTACCAGCAATACATTATTACCAGTAATACATTTTTGAAAAAAATATTGACATTTTTGGAAAAAAAATATTACCAGCAATAAAAATCTTGTCGCCATTAAGTAACCCATTGAGGTTGATATGCTGTAAAACAAAAGAAACCAAACCAACCCAAACCAAAGTCTGAATTTTACATATCCAGCTCACGATTTTTTAAAAAATCAAAAATTATGATTTTTTTAGAATTTTTAAATAACATTTGGTGAAATATATTTGTATTTTTATACTTATATTTTTCATTTTGCACTTTTGCAGGATGATGCACAGGGGAAAATAGAGCCATAAAATTCAAAATCCCACAAATTTGGGAGGAACCAACTGACCACTTAAACAATTGCTTCTTCTGCATGGTAGGCCCTTCCAAATGTTTAGCTGGCAAGAATGTGCCTGCTATTAGATATACAGACCTTCTGTTATGCATTTCCCCCAATGCCACACTACCCTGAACTCTCTGTACCCATTCTTCCAAAGAAAGAGCAACCGTCTTCAGAAGAGAAGAGCAATTCAGAATTGGATTACATCATTCATCATTACAGAAGTGCAGCTGAGGAGAGAAACCTATACTACCCCAACCAAAAAGGCCTCAATGTCCTGATGGGAGATCTTGGTCTCATGTTGAGACACAAACGGTGGAATTTTCAAGCTTTTTCACTCATCAAGATGGGTTTTGCTTCTGCTACAATGTGACCCATCTGTTCAAGGCAATTGGAATTGCCTGTAACCCCAGCAAGTGGTATCTCTTCATCGACAGCTCATTCAAAAGCCTCAAAGCCATGCTGCTTCATAACAGGCACATTTATCTATCTCTTCACTCAACTCACTCGGTGCAGCTAAAAGAAGAATACAGTAGTGTCAAGATCTTGTAAGATGCCTTGAAATATAGAAAGTACATTTGAGAGGTTATCAGAGACTTCAAAATGGTGGCCTTCTTAATGGGTCTCCAAGGCTACTTTACCAAGTTTTCATGTTATCTTTGGCTTTGGGAGAGCAGAGATACTGCAGCACACTACCACAAGCAGGACTGGCCAAAGTGGACTGAGTTCAGTGTGGGGAGGAACAATGTCAAATAGAAGAAATTGCTGAACCTCCAGAAAGTCTTGTTTCCTCCACTGCCCTTAAAATTAGGCCTCATCAAACAATTGTCACAGCTCTAGATAAAGCACCTGCAGCCTTCAAGTATCTACAAAACCTTTTCCCTTTGTCTGTGGCAAAAGTCAAAGCTGGTGTTTTTGCCAGACAACAAATAAAGAAGATCATTGAGTGCAAGGAATTCCCCAAGAAGCTCACTAGGATGGAAAAAGCAGCATGGAACAGCTTTGTTGCAATGGTTTGGGGCTTCCTGAGGAATCATAAGGACGATAACTATGTGGCACTTGTTGAGACCCTCATGAAGAACTATGGCAAAATGGGTTGCAGGGTGTCCCTCAAAGTCCATATATTTGGTGCTCATTTTGATAAACTCAAGGAGAACAGGTGGATATACTCAGAGGAACAAGGCAAGTGCTTCCACCAGAAAATAATGAACTTTGAATGCTGCTACCAATGATCATATAACGAGAACATGACAGGAGACTATATTTTAGGGCTGATTCACAAAAGTAATTTACAGTTGTAGTGTAAATTGTGAAAAACTACTCACTATTAATTTTTTATGGTCTCTCTTGTGTAATCCTAAAATAAATAAATGCTACTTTTGAATCAAATGTTTTTTGTTCCTAATTTGCATAAACAAGAATGTTCACATTTGCCAGTTTTCCTGATGGAAAAAGGGAAATTTCAAAAATATCATTATCCTAGTCACAAAAGTAAAGTCTGAAGGAAATAGTAGCCATTTTTCATACTTTCTAGTAGTAAGCAAATAGGAAATAACAGTTGCTATCCAAGGACAAAAATTGTGTTACACAGTGAAATCTATTAAATTATGTACCACCAAGGACATGATGAAAAAATCCCCCAAACTTAATAAAAACAAAGTTTTATCATCAAAATCTTTGTGTTATTATTAAGACAAAAGGCCAAAGGATTTTTTGATATAAAAATTATTTGTTTTTGAACCTTCACAATTTTGGTTAAAAATCTTATTTCTCTGGCATCAATGTGATGCCATAAATCATTATGGGAAATTTGAGTGTATTTTTCTGATGAAAAACACATTGATTTGGAAATTCTTGCAAAAATCAGATGTCAGATTTTAATGAAATTTTCCAGATTTATTCACAAATGAATTAAATTATTTTTTAAATGTTTCTTTCTTAGAAAATCTTGGTAAAAAATATTCTTTTTTTTACATTTCTTACTCCATACCTATTTAATTTTATGAAATCTCAAGAAACTCTTTTTGTAGCATGTAATGGTTTATATTAGTTATAAGGACAAGTCCAAGGAGAATTTAAGTCATGAAATTCTTTTGACAAAATAAGACCACCAGTTACAGAAAATCTGCTCTGAATTGTAAAATAAAAAATGCAATAAAACTAAGACATTATTTAATTAAAAAAAATTTTTAATTGCTTTTATGTATAAAATTATAGACACTGTTGTCAAGAAAAAAAAATTGGATGAATAAGGAATTTTTACAAGAATTGTTTTTATTTTTTATTTTTTTTTAAATCTTTTAAAATTCTGTATTTGGAATGGTTGAGTGGTATTGTTATTAAATAAAAACTGTAATTTAAATGGAAAAGCTTACTACTATTCAGTGACATCCCCAGTATTTTAAAAATAAATTCTTCAAATATTGAAAAAGCAGCATTGACCATTGTCTGGAGAACAGACAGAGCTCAACAATTTTTATTAGGTAAGTTCTTATTAAATTGGACAATAAACCTCTAGAGTTTATTTTTAATCCTAGAAAGGAGCAACCTTACTTCTTCCAGGATTCTAGGATGATCAATACAATTAAGGGTTTATGATTTTGACATTGACTATGTAAAAGAAAATACAATACCACATTTTGATGCGCTGTCAAGGTTACAATTTAATAAGCATCAAAAAGAAATAATGGAAATCCTGGATAAAGAAATATTACATTATGTTGAAACTGATATATTATCTCTACAAATATTGGCATCAGAAACTCTGTATGATCCAATATTAAACAAGATTGCTGAGAAAATAAAAGAAGCTGGTGGATTAATTGTCCCAAAGCTGAAAGACCTTATAAAGAAATGAGACATAAATTAACAATGGAAAACAGTGTTATATGCAATGGAGATGTGATAGTATCACCAGAAACAGTAAGAAAATATATTTTAAAAAGTGTACATGATAATGTCCATTGTGGGATAATGCCTACACAGAGCAGATTAAAACTGGAAGTATGGTGGCTGTGGTATTATCAAGATATAGAAAGATATGGACATAAATGCCTAAAATGTGCAGAAATAAAGAATTTTTGACAAAGCGGAATACACTCATGATCTAAAAAAATGGAATTATGGTCTCATGTTCATATGGATTATGCACACATTAATGGCATTGGACTATTTCTCATTTTAGCAAACTCATGTTCTGGATGGCATGAAGTTGTTAAAGATAAAAAAATGACTACAATAAAACAAATATTAAGAGTGATATTTTGTAGAAATGGGGTCCCTAAAACATTGGTATTAGACAATGAATCAGAATTTTGTGATGTAAATTTATGTAACTGGTTGAGACAAAATGGCTGATTTCCTTACCATATCACCCACAATCTAATGAGAATGCAGAAAGAATAAAGCAGACAGTAAAAATGAGAATAAAGGCTTTTTCACCAAGTAGAGATACTATAGACAGTTATTTAACAAGGTTACTGCTTAGTTATATGTAAACAGATAGCAAAGCCCATCTGCATTAATGGGAAGACAAATAAGATCTCCATTAATAATAGCTTATTCTACAAATGAAAAAAATGTGGTATGAAAAAGACAAAGTAGCAAATCCTGAGAGAGATAATTTCATTGTGCAAAGTGGGACATAACACGGCCATTATATCAAAGAAAGGAAAAAGCCTAATTGCTCGTTCTGACCAATTAAGACCAAGAATTGAAGAGGAAGATGCTGTGATGGAAGAAGATCTAGACAAGAAAGAAAGGATGAGTTCTTCAGATCAGGATAATGTAATAGAAGATGAGCCTATGGATGATAGCAGGAATGATTCAGACATGGAAGATGAGACCAAGATCTTCATTAAAAAGAACAGGACATAAAACTCAAGGGGGAGAGGAAGAAAGGGGTTGCAAGAACAATGAAAGGCATTAAACTTCTTCAGTTCAGGATGATGTCATGGGATTGACAAATTGGATTTTACCTATTTGCATGTGTCGGTTGTAGTAGAAATGAAGTATAGTGTAAAGAGTCAGACAGGGAGAAAGTTAACTACTGATCACGTCATAGAACAACACTATAGAGCAGAAACCAAACGCTTATTATAATATTAGAATATCTAATGCATAGATTATATAAATGCCAAACATTAAAGGTAGAGTAACTCTTTGTATGCAAGATAAATAACTACCACTGGACTGATAAAATATGAAGGAAATCCACTTCATAACAAGTTTTATCATTGTAAGGAAGAACTGATTTTCTGAAAAAAGGTTGGACAATTTCTCTAATTCTTTGTTTAATTTATCAAATTTGTTTCTGTAGTGATATGTAGATTAACAAATTAGCATAGCCAGAACACCCAAGCTATATAACTACAGCAATTAAGTGAAGAAAAACTACGACACATGAGTATTGAGTAGTAACACAAAGGACTTAGGACTTAGTTTCTCTTAACTTGTTTTTAGCTTTTGTCTTAGAAATGATTTTTCTCTAAATTTTTTATGAACATTTTTCTTCTTTTCACTTGTGTTGATGATGTCAAATTCACCCACACTGGTTCAAGGCAACAGAGTTTCAGCATTTGTATGAGCGAAGAGAGATTCAAACTGGTTATGGAGTTTGATTTGAAATTGCTTTACTATATGAGTTTCTTCAAAGTCACTTCTGCTATATTTTTTAATAGTTCATTTTGCCAAATAAAATCTGACTCTATTTTTCACCTAGCCATTCTCTGGTCAGAGATCTCAGAAGAGTTCAAAACCCTAGTATCTAATATGTTTTGTTTATGCTTCTGCCTTATTATCAAATCAGTTTAGTACATTGTAGAGATTTCACACATAGAAAAATCCAAATAGACAAATTTTTGCTCTTACAAGAGCACTAAAAGAACAATAAGATTAAAGTGACTGAAAAACAAGGGGACTAAAATTGACTAAAAAGGACAACAGGAGTAGATGTAATTGAAAGGACAATAGGACTAAAAGTTACAAAAGGGCCAACAGAACTAAAAGTGGCAAGTAGACAAGGACTAAAATGAAAACAGCACCAAAATTGGCTAAAAAGACAAGACTAAAAGTGATTAAAAGGATATCAGGGATAAACATGACTAAAAAGACAATTGGACTAAATTTGGCTTAAGAGACAAAAAGTAATTAAAAAAACCCAAAAAGGACAAGATGACTAAAAGGGCAAGAGAACTAAGAGACAAAAAGGACTAAAACTACAATGGTACAAAATGTGACTAAAAAAATAACAGGACTAAAAATGGCTAAAAATACAACAGGTCTAAAATCTAATAAGAGTAAAAGGCACAAAAAACAAAAAGAGGACAAATGGTGGAAATTTTAAAAATACTAGTAACATTATTAACAATAGTAATAATAAAAATACTGATTATAAAAATATAATTACTATTTCATTTGGGATTGTATTCTTAATTCATTTATGAATTTTTTTTTTTTGTTTTCTCTTTTCATTTTTCTTTTGCCATCTTTTCTTCTATGACAGCCATTTTTTCTTCTTTATTTATTTAATTTTTCTTCTTTATTTTTGACTTTCTTCTTTCGATTGCTATGCCTTTCTTCTTTCTTTTATCATCTTTCTTTTCCTATGTTTCTTTTTAAAATATTTTCTTTGTTTATAACAATTTCTTCTTTTTTGCCTTCTTTTTTTGTCTTTTTTCTTTTACAATTTTTCATTTTCCTCTTTTTCTTTCTTTCATTATTATTTTATTTTATTTCCTTTTTTTCTTCCTCTTCCCTTTACTTTATATTATTTTTTATTTGTTATCCTTTGTATCATTCTATTTCTTAATATTCTTTTTCCAAATACATCCTCATCATCATCAGCTGGAGGAGAAGGCTGTTTCCTCCCAACTACCAGTATCATCATCATAGTTAATTATCAATGAAATTAGAAGGAAATCACCTTCTGTCTAAATTTTTGAGACAGTCTCTTGTTATTATTATTATTATTCAATGATTTTTCAGACTTACATCCTAATCTTGCTTGTTTTTATCCAAATGTTTTAGCTATTGTAGTGTGGTTGCCCCAAAGATACAAATAGCTTAAATGTTGAGATAAAAACAACTAAAATAAGGATGAAAATTTGAAAATTGTTGTAAATTACTAATTTTTCAAGTACAATGTCAATCCTCATCTGGGACCTAAATCTCAGGTATTGAGGATGTACTGTATTTCATTTTCTCAATCTATCATTATTGCAAGTATAAATTGCTTTAATGATTCAAGTTTCTACCAATTGCAACAGGCTTATAGCCATATCATGTTGAAAAACCAGTTTCTGTATGATCACTGAAGTTAAGCAATATCAAGCCTGGCCAGTACTTAGATGGGAATACCAGGTAAGCTTAGATGTGCAGGTAGTGTAATGGATAATGGCTCAGAATTGTTAATCAGAGAGCTGAATTCCAATTCCAGTTATGTTCATTATATTCACTTATGCACAAGAAAAGGTATGAACCCACTCTTCCTCCAAGTTATAGGTTAATTAGTAAGACTTGTATCACTAAATCATTATTATCTCCAAAAAAGATTCTTACAATCTAAAAATATTTTCTGGCTTTAAATAACCGGCAAAGGATTGATAAGCTGTACAAAATAAATTGATCAATCAACTAATTGCAACAATGATACACTTCACTGATGTCCCCATCTCTTTGTCATCTTTTTGGGTATTTTTAATTGTCACCAGTAATATTTTTGTACATCTTGGAGGTGTGTAGCAGTATCAGCATTTACTTTCACATAAATATCCTTGGAATCCATCTCTTCTTTCCTTGGCTAGGCTGAGCATTGTAGCTTAGTTGGCAACCAATGTAGGAGAAAGACAACTCTCAATTCAAAACCATTTGGACATGGGGGTATCCACCCCACCCAATAAAAAATATACTTGCTACAGAAACCACAACAGCAACACTTAGTATAGAGAGGCTGTGGCACTTGTACACAAAAGAGATGTCTACAAGTTTAACATGTCATCATCTTCATCACTATTATCATTATAGTGTGCTATCATCTTGCCAATAATAATTTTAAGTGCCTAATTACCAAGTTCTCTCTGGGTTCTATAAGTAAAAAGGGCAGTGTAAGAGAGTTATCTATGCACACTATGGATGTTTCATTTAAATGGAGAGAGTCTTGCGGATGATATGTACAGTTCCACGCAAAGTAATCTTTTGTAGCTCTGAAGTGATGTATCTAGGAATTTTACTCCCATGATTTTCGGCACACTTCCTTATCATACCCAATGCCCCTATCGGAAATAAGTTTACACATTTTTGTTACTCCAATAATCCTGTGGGCAAGTCATATCGATTTTTATAAAATCTTTTATGACTATATCTACTCTATTTGCATCAATTCTCCTGTCTATGAGGATTGGGAAATTCCATGATATAGTCAGTCACTCTATTACCATTTGGGACATCATTCAGGTGGTTTTTGTACCATGTACACTGCTAGTCAAAATCTTAAGACCAGATACAAAAGGGTTAAAAAAAATATAAAATACTGTTACTCTAATCAAAATATATTTGCGAAACATTTACATTTAATTAGAAAATGTAGTTTATCAAGTAACAGTATTTTATATTTTTTTCACCCTTTTGTATCTGGTCTTAAGATTTTGACCAGGGGTGTATCTGGGACTTCAATACCAATCATACCAATGAATATATTGTCCCAGCCTGTCATGTCTAATGATGTATTCTTTCTCAGCAAGGACTGTATCACCATCATCATCATCTAATTATTTAATTTCTGGGACAGTCATTATTCAGGATCTCTACATTATTTTCAAGAATGTCTATTTCTATGTTCATCACCTTGGGCATACAAAAATACACACCTGAACTGAAGCAATTAGAATCAATTAAAGTAATCATTTCTAGACTATTTTAATAGTCACTTATTCTTTAGCAGCTCCTTTGATGATTTATCTCTTTAGGGTTTAATACTTTAAATAAGTTTAATAAGATTTACTTGATTATATATTAAGTGCATCAATTTATCTCATTTATATTAGCTTGTTATCTCTCATACCCTCTTCCTCTCTATCCCTCTCTTTCATTTCTCTCATATTTGATCAATTATCAATCTTGCTAGATAACACATTTGATCTATCTATCTATCTATCTATCTATCTATCTATCTATCTATCACAGTTTCTTCATATCTATCAGTTTTTCATATCTATCACAGTTTCTTAATATCTATCTATCAAAGTTTCTTAATATCTATCTATCTATCTATCTATCACAGTTTCTTCATATCAATCTATCAATCACAATTTCTTCATATCTATCTATCACAGTTTTTCATATCTATCACTGTTTTTCATTATCTATCTATCTATCTATCTATCTATCTATCTATCTATCTATCTATCTATCTATCTATCACAGTTTTTCATATCTATCAGTTTTTCATATCTATCACAGTTTCTTCATATCTATCTATCAAAGTTTCTTCATATCTATCTATCTATCTATCTATCTATCACATCTATCTATCTATCTATCAATCACAATTTCTTCATATCAATCTATCAATCACAATTTTTCATATCTATCTATCACAGTTTTTCATATCTATCACTGTTTTTCATTATCTATCTATCTATCTATCTATCTATCTATCTATCTATCTATCTATCTATCTATCCCAGTATTTTCCTTATCTATCTATTTGAAAATTGCTCTGAAAGTATTTAATCATTATGTTGGCCTAGACCATCTGAGGTATGATAGTAGAAGTTGAACTTTCCCATCACTAACTCATATTTGTTTTAACTTTTTACAAATAGCAGATGTACAACTGAATCAATAAGTTAAAGTTAAATAATTTAGTTTGAGTGAAAAAAATAAATGAAAATCTGGCAATTGTATTTTAGTAATTTTGCAAGATGTTCATATTGGAAGAGATAAACTGTCATAATTTGTATCTTGAAAAACAAAAAAGAAACAAAAGACAAATGCAATTTAAAATGAGAAGAGAAAATCATTTTCATCCATGTGAATATCCAAAACAGTTGAACCAAAGTGTACCTCCTTGGAATTTCCAATTGTTTACAAATGAATTTATTATCTTTTTTTTTTTTTAATCATAATCACCCCAAGCAAGGCAGTAAAGCCACTAACACACAAGGGGCTATATGGTGTGAAAGACTTAGAAAATAGAAAAATTAGTAAGAAGCAAGAACAATAGAAAAGTAATCAGGAAGACAATAGATTGACATTGCATTTAAATTTTTGAAAATCAAAGTTGGTTGGAAAGCATGGAGCCAGAAGGCAGTTCCACACACGAGAAGTGGGAGAAAAGAAACTATTAGCATAGAACATACTGTTACATGTAGCCAATTCAACTGTAAATTTATGAGACCTTGTTGCTAATCTAGTACTGTGCTTAAATTCAAAAATTTTAGTTACCATAGCAAAGAGCTCATCTGAACAATTACCATGAAAATATTTATAGAAAAGGCACAGTGAAGCAACTTTATGGCAAAGGGAAAATGACTGAAGCCGAGATGCCAGGATCAGTGACATTGCTGATACTTCTTTGGATTTTATCAAGAATCTCTAGATATATAGCAGGAACACTGAACCACATGTGGTAGCATTATTCTAAGTAGGGATTAATGGTAAGATAGAGTCTGGAGAGAAAAATTCTCTAGCAAGATGCAGTGAACCAATTTTCTTAGCACTTGACCTAGCAATACATTCAATATAGTCTTCCCGCTTCATGTCAGCTAAGAATGTTAGCTCAAGAAGGCACAACAAGTCACTGTCTTGGAGGTTAGCTTCATCCATACTGATGGAAGACAGAAAGGGGTCTTTTAGATTATTATCTAAGACATATTTTCACTTACTTGGTAGTAATAATAATAATAATAATAATTTTATTACAATAAAGGATATTAGTTTTATGCAGCATGCTCAAAAAATTATCTTTTTAGTCTCATTCCATTTGAAGAATTTTCTGTTATTTCCTACTTCCTTTCTTCTGAGATCAATTTCAGCCAACTTATAAATATGTTTTTAAATTTGTTGATAAATCTGATGTTCAACTTTGTGTCTATAACAAATTTTTTATAGCTGTGTAAATGTCTGTCTGAATTTCTGGAATGAGGTGTTATCATTATTTACACTATTTACATTCAGACTATTGTCCTCATCTTTATCGTTGATTTTACAATGTTACATCTATTGTGCTCTCTACGTCAGGTGTACATCGATCCAGGTAACCTCCAGGGAAATCTGAATTAAACTTTTTATTAAATCTATGGATTTCACTGACTGTGTCTAGGGATATCTTGTCTAATTCTTATTTTTTAGTAAGATAGGATCCCTAGTAGATTAAAGTGTTGTGAATTTTGTGACATAGTGATTGTGAGTTCAATCCCTGTTTACATGGACAATAACTCAGCAGTACTAAAAATAAGAACTAGATGAGATATCCTTAGACATGGACAGTGGAATGAGAACAGTCTACCTCCTAGATTATATAAAGGGTTCAGTTCAGATGTAAATTTCCTGGATGAATATACACCTGATGAAGGCCTTTGGGTATAATGACTGAAACATTTTATGAACAACAACAAAAATGTAGACAATACTCTGAATGTAAATACTGCTGTAAATATTCAAATGTCTTACTATAAATGCCAAAGAAGCAACTTTGTATGAAAATATTCATACACTTTAGCCACAAAACAAAAAGAGTCAGAATGAAGTAGTCATTATTTACAAGACTCATCTTAGTCCAGCTAAGACCAACATTCAGAAACACAGTGGCGACTGGATTCACTAATATGTTCTCCAAGATTAATCTGTAAACAATCACTTTAATATATGAAACAATCTTCAACAAAAAGCAGACATAACAAAGTAATCAGTGAGCTTCTAACTCCTAAACAAAGGCCTACATCAGCATTTTATAATCGTTTTAGCCATAACCCTAAACACAAAAATTTGAGGTCGAGGCTGGTGACCATCAGGGTGAAAGCAATTTCAATGCTTCTTCATTTAATTTATTCCAATAAATTTTATTGATTTTTGCTTTAATTTAATAATCAATAAATTTGAATATATTTTTATGTTGATTGAAGAAAATGAAAAGCCTATTTTAATGTAAATGTCTTGTGTGTTATATTCAAGTTATTATAATGAGCATTTGGTTGCAAAGGAAAGGAACAAACAAGGATTAAATTTTCAACAGTAGGTACTCATCAAAATTTGGAATATATACATAGTTGTTTGAAATATGGCAAAAATTGCTTATGTAGTGTTCTTCAGTTGCTGTTGATAAGGAAAGTGATTAGGTCTAATGGTGTTGTCAGTAGGGTCAGGTGTTGACTGATTTCTTGGCTTAGTTATCTGAGGTCACATTGGGGTCAGACGATAGGAGTGGATTATTTGTTGGTGGGGTTTAACATATGCCCTTCTTCATGGTTGAAATTGATATCCATGAGGTGTTTAAAGGGCTGATGGCCATGTGATACTAAGATGTTGAAGATGTACTGCCTGGTAAAGTGTGCTGATGGGTTGATCAATTGAGGTTACAGTTGTACGTTGATTCATCATAAGACATGTTGGTTGCTGAGGTTACAGTGGTGGCAACAAGGGATGCATGGAATGGATAGTGTAGGTTGAGGAAGTGGAATGTCTCTGTTGGATTCTGGTTGAATGTGGTATCGAGACAGGGTCATGGTGGTGATATTGAGGGAGACCTGGAGTGGATAGGGAAGACATTGAGGTGTTAGAAATCACCATGGTGACAAGAACATGGTGGTGCCAAAGCTGGCCTGTCAGCTGCATATGTCAAAGCAGATGAAATTAGTGAACCTTGAATGAAATCACAGTGATCATGTCAGTGACAGCACAACCGAGGGGTTGACATGTGCTCTTTTGGCCTGCTCATTATGAGGAATTTTTTTTAAGCAAATATGGTAGTCCTCGGGTCATCTTTTTTTGGTGGGAATGTTAGTGATTGGCTATTTTATTTTATTGTGGGGGTTTGTTTTGTGGACTGAATGTAATACTCAGAGCCCCTGCACAGAAAACAACATTTTTATTTTGTGTTTTGCTTTCTTAGCATTCACATCCAGTCAACATGTAGTGTGAATCAAAAAGAGATTTAGTTACAGTGGAGTGTAACATGTATGCATTACAACATGTCAGTCATCTCAAACAGCAATGCCTGAAGTGAGTAAGAAATGATACTGAGACTGTGTCAGGCTTCAGCTGTATCAACAGTCAGGTATTTTACATGAATAGACTAGAATATTTCATACATTTATTGATGTTTTAATATTCACAGCTATTTTCAGTTCAATAGTCTAAATGATGCTTTATATTCCAAAATGTTACTGTAAATATATTTGCCCTATTTATTACTTTCAATATTTTTTATTTTCTTATTTTTTCTCAACTATCCAGCAAACCTCACGTTCATCTTTGTGATCCTCATCTGTGTCACTAGTATTAATTTAAGAACCACTGGTCTACATGATTAGCACTTCTGATCAGAGGTGGATTCAGTGCCCAAAATGACCTAGGCAAACACCTAAATTTTTTAAAAATTCTTTTACTAATAGTTCACCCAATACAAAGCCCAAGAGTCACTCAAGGTAGAGAATTACTAAATGAGGTTGTTGCATAAAGGAGGAGGAGGTAAGAAGTTCAGATTATGACAATATGTAAGAAAGATAATGGTTGACCCTAGACTTGAAGAAGTTAAGATTGTAGCGATCAGAGAAGCATCCTCTCAGGAGTCTGTTCCATAAAGTAGCTGTTCTCAGGAAGAAGCTGTCTGAATGGAACTTCCTTCTTACCAATAAAATATGAAGGGAATGGGGATGATTTGTCCCTGTGTATATGGCATGATGGGTGTTAGCTGTAAAGGTCTGGACTGATGAAACTAATTAATGTCACTTATCAGCATATTTTCCGTGGAAAGAGTGATAGAATAGAGAGAGGCTTGTGACATTTCATGTGTGAGAAAGGGATTGTAGAGTGGAAAATAAATAATCACCCATAAGGCTGTATAAACACTTTTTTAAGTTTAGAGAGATGAGGATTGGGGAGCTCCAGGAAAGATATCAAGAGTATTTCATTTTTAATCTGACCTGACTCTTGAGCATGGGTCAAGGAGTCAAGTACAAAGAAGCAACCAGCTGTACAAGGAATTGACATTTGAGTCATTAAAGGTTCTACTGAATGCAGTGACCCCATTTAGCAGGAGATTCAGGATGGTGTAAGGTTCATCTACCACCCGGTTCACACACCTCCTTGGTCTTTTGGACAGGAGTAGAGGTTTATCCTTTGTTTCTTGTTTAGGATTGGGTTTCTGGTTCCTTCTAAAATCTACTTCAACACTATATTTCTAACATCTTTTAATGTCTGAAATTTTACTGACTATATATTTACTTTTTTTTTCCTTAATAGGAGTAGATAGTTTTGCCTATCACCTGGTTCCCACTCCTCCTAGGTCTTATCAACCTTTTTTCAGGTTATTTAAAGCCAGAAAATATTTTTAGATTGTAAGAATTTGGTTAGGAAAGATAATAAGGATTTAGTGATGCATATCTTACTAATTAACTCTTAGCTGGGGGGAGAAATGGTGGATTCATACCTTTCCCAAAGGTATTTGTGCATAAGTGAATATAGTGAACCTAACAGGAATTGGAACTCAGTTCTTCGATTAAAAATTCTGAACCATTATCCATTACATCACCCTCACATCCAAGCTTACAGCACCTGGTATTCCTAAGTGGTCACCCATTTAGATACTGACCAGGATCAACATTGCTTAACTTTGGTAATCATACAGAAACTGGTGTGTCCATAAGCCCCAGTTTTTTAAACAGGAGTATAGGTTTCTGGTTCCTTCTAAAGTACTTCTAAAGTCTTTTCCTTCTATTTCACTGCTGGTAGCCCCCTGTATCTTAGTAGCATTATCACCTTGCTTGAATTGTTGCCTCTTACCCTGTAGCCCTCTACCACGAGTGGCTCTTGGGTCTTGTACAAAGTGAACATCATTGCAAAAATAGTACTGAAATTAGAAAGACTAATCAGGTTATCAGCTTACTGACCAGACAGTACCAGCACCAGCTCACCAATTCCCCATTTCAAAGAGATTTTGCCCAGTGTGATGGTGGGTCAATCCACTCCTGACTCTGATCATTTTCTTGAATAAATATAAAATATAGCAGAAAAAACATATTTTTTCTGTTGTTATACTTGAAGCTACCCCACCAGACAATACCAGATATCCCTGCTGTGTTATATGATTTCAGTTCAAATGGTCTTTCTTTCATCTAAAAGTTTTGCCTGTATTAAGGAAAATGAAAAGAAACAATATAAGTAAAGATTTCAACATTAGTTCAATAAATCTTTGTTTAAGTTATTCCTCCTTTTACTCCTTCTGCAGACAACTAATATTTCAAGTCAAGTATGCGCATGAAATTAAAGGTGTTTCATTTTGCAGAATATTTCCATAAGCAAAGAAAAAAGTAACTAAAACTAGTATGACAATGCTTTGTCAGCATGAGGCATTGTCTTTCCAAAGATTTGATTAACTCTCAGCTGTCAGCTCATGGTAGTAATTGTCTCTGCTCAAACTGACAGCTGTATGGCTTAATATTATAAACAAAAAAAAAAGAGGTAGGAAATGTTTTATTATATCTTGTGTTGGTGCACACTATCTAGTCATCTAGTAATTTTTGTTAGTCTCAATCTCAACTTCATAAGTGCCAAATTAATACCCACAAGATAGGAAAAACTTTCTAAAAATGCTCACTGTGTGTTTGCAACAATGAAAATTTTATATGCCAATGGTGAGATTTACTGTTTCTTTACAAGGAAACATTCAGCATTCACTGATAGAACAATTAGCATTACTGTTGATTGAAATTTATAAAAATCTTTGTCTTAAAACACTTTTTCTAAAAAATAGCTTTCTCAAATCCACTGTTATCACTCTTTCTAGCATTGAAAGAAGTTTCCTTCTTAACCTTTTGTTTAAAGTAGTGTGGAGTGTCAACATCTTGATCATGTCATTATTTTCTCTTCTAGTTACATGTGCTATCCATTTTAGTAGTTGCTGCTGTTGAAAATCTTCATGTGATGTGATTTCTATTATTTAGTCTAGTACATTGTTTATGATTCTGTAGCACCAATCACTAGGATCCAACAAAGGACAGTCCTCTTCAAGAGATGCAGGGTTCCCTCATTTGAATCCATTTTTAGTCATTGATCTGATAAAACTGTTGTATAAAGCTGATAGTTTAGACATTTCTGAACAAGTTGGATGTCATGCATGACATCCATATGAGAGTCTAGACAAAGCCATTTAAGGACAGGATTCAAGTTCTTAGGTTAATGTTTTGGTTTTGTAGAAAGTTAAGGTGTTGTACAAAACTACACTCCTAGCACAACCTATTCTATGTTCATTTTCCTTATCTCCAATAGTAAATTGGTTAAAACTAATTTATAAACTGAGGTGTTTGAAGAGTATTATTTATTAATTTCTCATTTTTGAATCAATTCACCCCAAGCAAGGTAATAATTCCACTAAGATACAAGGAGCTACTGGAAATGAAAGAGAAATGGAATATTTTAGAAGGATCCAGAAACCCAATCCTAAACAGGAAACATGGGATATACCTCTTGTTTTAATTAATTCAACCCAAGCAAGGCAATAATGCCACTAAGATACAAGGAGCTACTGGAAGTGAAGAGAAAGAGAAGACTTTAGAAGGAACCAGAAACCCAGTCCTAAACAGGAAACAAGGATAAACCTTTCACTGTCAGTGGCGGCTTTATCTCATATCCAAGAATTTAATTTCTTTTTTCTGATTGCTTCCTTTATGATGATGGTATTGATGACTAAGTAGACCAATTCTTGCATGGAAGAGCCAATAATATTGACTGCATAGTAATGTTGATGGAGGACGAGGTCAATTTTTTCAAGCCTTTCTCTCTTGTTGTTTGACTTCTTCCTTTTCACTTCTGGTGGCTCCGAAGATTTTGGATCCAATGGTGCTGGAACATTGCCAGTTGGTACAGTCTGTGCATGTGTTTCAAATGATTTAAGCTCAAGTCCATGTATTGTTTTGAGTTGGTCTTTGTATCTTCGAAGAGGGCAATTCCATGGTCTCTTCCCTGAATAAGACTTGATGAGGAAAACTTTTCCATTCTTGCTACATGTCCTGGCCATCAAAGATGGTGTTTAATGATCAGCGATTCGACTGTTCGACTTTGACTGTTGGCTCTTTCCAGGACTTTAGTGTTGGTCACATAGTAATTCCATTTGATGTTCAAGTGAATGAAGCTTTTGCTGGTGAATAGACCTCTAATTTCTTGTCAAAAGAGCAAGGAGAAATGTGAACCAGATGATAATTGAACCTATCTATTCATATTGAGAAAAAAATAGTATAAATTTAGGTGGCGACGTTAGAAGTATAAAGCTGAAGTTGAATTTTGAAGGAACCAGAAACCCAATCGTAAACAGCAAACAAGGGATAAACCTCTACTCCTGTTCAAAAGACTGGGGAGGAGTGTGTATCTACACCTATCCTTATATTAAAAGCATCAACAAAATAATTGTTGTTAAATAGCTTTTATTTTTGCATAGTGATCAATAAATATAGACAAGAGTTAATCAATTCCATTTAACATCAGGAAAAAAATGTAAAAAGAAGAATTGTCTCTTTTAAGTCTAGGTAAAAATCCAAGTCCCCCTAGTGTGGCATAAAAGCTTCTAAATTCAAACATTATTACCACTGTTTCTATATTCAAGTAATGTGTGAGTCCAGAAATCATGGCACCAATGTGTGATAAGCTAAGATAGTATTTTATTAAATGACTTAATAGCAATTACTGGTAGAGCTGTAATAAATTTTAAGTGAGTATACAGTTATAGCACTACAAAATCATTTTGGTTCACTAGTCTCTTTCTTTATTCTGGCTTACAGCCACATCACATTGAAGCATCAATTCCCATATGATCACTAAAGTTAAGCAAGGTTGAGCCTGGTCAGTAGCTTGATGGGTGAGTACTTGGGAATATCAAGTTCTGTAAGCTTGGATGTGCAGATGGATAATGGCTTAGAATTTTTAATTGGAGAGTTGAATTCCAATTTCCATTGGGTTTGTTATATTCACTTACATGCAAATACCCTTGGGAAAGGTTTGAATCTACCTCTTCTCCCCCTAGCTATGGGTTAATTAGTAAGATGCGTATCACTAAACTATTCTTATTTTGAAAAATAAAATAAAATTACATACCAAATATTTGATTTCAGCACTAAATAACCTGCAAAAGGTTGATGTGACTCTACAGCAAAACAACCAACCAAATTTCTTTACTCTGTCAGTTCAACTTAATAACATAAATAAAAGCATTGTATCTTGTTTTATTCAGTCAAATGAAAAGAAAGTTAGGACTATAAAAAGTATGTTTCAGTTTGCAAAAGTTGAACTGAGATGAACTGAAACATATATTTGTTAAGTGCCATATCTCTTAAGAATGTATGTTATTATGGATCTCCTTTCTCTTCTTTAATATCCATAAACTGTGTACTGCCATGAGTTATCATACTAAAGATAGTGGAGTGTTGCCTTTTCCATGGTTTTAAATTCACTGCTGTTTTTCCCTTAAACAGGTTGCCAACCAAGGCTAGAGAAGCTAGTCTACCTTGCTATTCAGCCCATAGCTTTTGGAGCGAAGAGATGGATTCATGTCTTTTCCAAGGGCAAGTGTTAAAAATGAACACAAACTGTCTCAACCTTGAACTCAACAAGCAGATTTCATTTTTCTGCTAGCCATTTAAAGAATACACATTAAGAAAGAGATTTATCAAAGACAAAAGAAGTATTCTATTAGGCTAAGTTATCATTTCTTTTTACATTAAGATTAATGAGCACTTTGTGAGTTCACTGAAGCTACCCAAGTAGAAATTTCTTCAAAAACAAAATATGTTTAAAAATGATAAATAGGAACAGATGGCAAGCTACATGAAAATAGCAACAGCCGAGGTTGATATAAATTAATTCTAAAGAGGTGGGACAAAATGGGTGGGTTCAAAGCCAGGCAGCAGGTAAGATGAAACAGCAGAAAAGTAAAGATATCATAGAATGAGATGAGACAAGTGACAAGTTAGAGGTTGGATTCCAATTAGTAGGTTGGTTTTATACCCTCTTTGATTGCTGTCAGTCTCATGAAAATGAAACTTAATGGCATTGTAACATCAACATTTGTATATCTAACTTAACTTTGATAGGTTTTGCTTTAGGGAAATTTTTCTCTCTTTATTTGTAGTAAAATTAGGTCAATACTGTTGTAGACACAAATTCCTACAACCTTAGTTCAATAGATTAACCTAATTAACCTTTGATTTTTATCAAATGGCAAAATTCCTAGATTCCCATAGCAATTATAATTTATTCCTACTTTAGAAAACTAACAAACCACATTCTTATATTCTATAACTATAAAGCCCTGTTTGTTTGTATGCATCTTAGGGCCAATCAAACAGCAAGATCCTGGAAGCTTAAATTTAGTTTAGAAGGGTAATTTGACTTTAGAATGAATATGGATTGATGGTACCGACTTCAAAGGTCACTAGACATTGCTATAGGTCAATTTAAGATAATAGCTGCTATTTCTGAGCAAAGATACATTTTTATAAACATCACATAAACACTGCATGCATTCATCATAGGTATATCTATGTAAAAATCTATTTCTACATAAAATACTAGTGAAGGTGGTTAAGTAATACAGTTAGGAGCATGATAAATAGAATTGATAAGATGACTTCAAATATGAACTGAGATAATCTTCATTCAGTCTACACTAATACCCTTGGGAAAATAATGAATACAAATGAAGGGTGTAATTGACACTTCAAAAAGTTCTTTATTAAATGAAATTTCTGTACAGTCATTATGTAAATTAGTACAGTATTTTCGAGAAAAAAAAATGGATTTTCTTTTGCCCAGAATTTTTTTTTTTAAATTGTAAGAATAGAATTTAATTTTAAGTTTTATTTTTTGTTAAACAAAATTGGACACTTTTCTTAATTGCTTGGAAGTAACAATTTTGATAGACTCAAAATTCTTGAACCAAAATTATCAGCATCTTTTTTTAAAATAATTATTACAAACATTATATTCCATCACAATTAGATCTCTTTCTGATTCATTCTGTATGCTGGCCAGAAGTGAACACCATGAAGGCAGAGAACGAAATAACAAAAGTCATTTTCTGCATATCAGGCTCTATGCATCATATCCAGTCTATGAAACGAGCTCTGGCAGTAGCAATCATGAACATTCCTGCCTGAAAAAGAGATGACCCTGGGGACTACAAGACCTTCTTAAAAGTAGGTCACTGAAAATGACCAGAGCAGTTGCAGCCTGGCATGCCACCGACCATCATGCAGGGCACTGCTGCTGCCGGCACCACCGTCGCTGCCATAACCATCACTGCCACCTCTTAACATGACCACACCTCACAATGACTGTTACCAATCCCAGGCTTGACTAACCACCTTGACTATCCAGTTTTATGTTGATAACATCTCAACCTTGTCACCTCAGCAAACACCAGCCACAAGCAGCCAACTATCCAACTTCAACTCCACCCAGCTATGATAACATCTCAACTTTGACACCATGTTACCTCAGCAAATACTGACAGGATAACATTTCAACTTTGACTCAAAACACTCACATCCTACACATTGGCAAAGTCAGATTCATACTTTCTCCTGACTTCTAACACTCATATTATACACATCAGCAAAGTCAGATTCATACCTTCTCCCGACTCCTAACACTCACATCATACACATCAGCAAAGTCAGATTTATAACTTCTGCCAACTCCTAATGCTTGCATCCTATGCACCGGCAAAGTCAAATTCATGACTTTTCCGAACTCTTAATGCTCACAAACACCTCAGCAACCCACCACTGTCAACTCAGTATAACCAACATGTACGAGGCATTCCCTTGCAGCCATCACCATGGCCTTGTTCAACAGAACAGGCCCACCAACCATGTCAATCCAACATCACCCCTGTTCCATAGAACAGGCCTACCAACCAACAAAAATGGCCTACCACAGTAACTTCAATCAACCAACACACACCAACTATACACTGCGACCTTATCCCAACCCACACAAGAATATTCAGTGCTACCCTTACACCTTACCACCATCCTGATGATCGGTGACTGAAATGGCATTCCACCCATCCTTCAACATCTCTGTATGTCATGCCAGCAATAGACGTTGTTCAAATCTAATCCTCATCATTTCTTTCTCTTGCTACCAAATGCATAAGATAATACAAAGTACAGTGAACTCCAGCGATTGTATTTATTTTAGATATTTAAAAATATGGGTAAAGTCAAGAACTTCCGCTATTATATAATATTAGCTATTTATGAAGCCTGTGATATCAAGAGTAGGATTTACTAAATGAAAACCATAAAGAAATTCCATTTACTATAATTATTACATATTGAATATAGAATTCTAGTTCTGGAAAAAAAATGAAGCAATAACCATAGTTGTATTTTAGTGCCAACTGTATTTGAATCCCAGATACAATGGAAAGGTTTCAACTTTTCTCATTACTGCCCACTGACTTTACCATTACTCTACTACTCACCACTTTGCTTTTTGCCATTTTATGCACTAGAAAACTTAATATTTGATGATTTAATACTGAATTAGGTAATATTTTTACCTAAAATTTGTTGAGGCAAATTTCAACAAAAAAATCTATATGTTGTTCATTGAAAATCATACAGAAAGGGATTGTCAAAGGTCAAGAATTGAGGAAAGTGTTTACAAGAAATAGGGATACAGTGTGTACAATTAAAAATTAAATAAATCAAGTATTAAAAACATCCACAATGCATCATTGCATAAATACTGTAAAACTTATTTTTTGAAAATGTTTTTGCAGATTAATCTGCAATATGTTAATTTTTTTATTTATACTGTATAATCTTTCACTGATATTCCCACAAAAGAAATCCTAAACAGTCAAATCTTGAGAAGATGGTGATTATTCTACCAATCCTGCCTTGCTAGTAAGACTCATCAGTCAGACAAAGTCAAAATGGCAAAATGACCTGAATACATTAACTGGGACAAAAGATGGCTTGTCAATTTTAATGTATCCAAAATTAAACTTCTCTCCATTAATCATCTGAGAGACCCCTCTCTGCCTTCCATCAGTATGGCTGATGCTATCCTCCAAAAATGTGACTCATTGCATTACGCCTTCTTGAGTTAACATTATCAGCTGACATGAGATGGAAAGACTATATTGAATCCATTGCTGGATCAGCTGTTAAGAAAGTCAATTCACTGTATTAGCAAAGACAATTTTTCTCTCTGTAATCTATCTTGTATACCTATAAGTCTATCATTCACACATGCTTATAATTTTGCTGCTACATATGGTTTGGTGCCCCTGCTATTTACCTAAAGCTTCTTGATAAGATCCAAAGAAGAATCAGCAATATTATTGGTCCTGATCTGGTGGCTCAGCATCAGTCAATTGCCCACTGCCATAAAGTTGCTTCTCTGCATCTTTTTATAAATACTTTCATGGTAATTGTTCAGATGAGCTCTTTGCTATGGTAATTTGTATGAATTTAAGTGCAATACTAGACTAGTAGCTAGATCTCATCAGTTTATAGTTGAGCTAGCTAATTGAAGCCATAACTTCTATGCTAACAGTTTCTTATCTTGCACTTCTCACTTGTGGAACTTCCTCCCAGCTCCATGCTTTCCAGTCAACTTTAATCTGCAAAATTTTAAATGCAATGTTAATCGCTATCTACTGTCCTCCTGATTGCTCTCTTCTCTTTCACTTCATTACTAATGTTTCTGTTCCTAATTCCTTCACGCCCTGTAACCCCTTGCATACTAGTGGCTGTACTGCTTTGCTTGTGTGGATACAGCATCCTGAATTGTTATTTGGAAATTGATGGACTTTTGGATGTTAATGTGCAGAAATGCCATAGTGTTGAAAATAATGTGAAGCAATGCCATAGT